TCTATTTAATCAATCACATCGTGCATACAATCCAAGTAAGAGGAAAGATCCTAGAGATCTATCCTATAATACAACATCAAAACTTTCAATTCATCAATGTTATGTATGTAAAACGAATTTTTTGTCTGGGAATGATCTACAACATCATCTACGTGAACAATGTTATCCACCGCAGATTCGAGTACATGTTGAAACCATGATCAGGCACGTACAAGATGTAGAACAACGGGAAGAAATACAAAATATTTTGTGGAAGCATGGTAAATTATTCGATACTACAACGCCATCCGTTGTTAATACAACGCTGACACATGCTATCGACACGGGAAACCATCGTCCATTATACACACCCCAATACAGACAATCACACAAAGATCAACAAAGACTTTCAGACGAGACAGATAAATTAATCAAACAAGGTATAGTTGAGAACTCCACGTCTCCATGGTCAAGTCCAATTGTATTGATAAAAAAGAAAGATGGTACAACACGCTTCTGTGTAGATTATCGTCGAATTAATGAAATAACAACAAAAGATTCGTTCCCGTCACCGAGAATAGACGAGATATTTGATCAGTTGGGTGAAGCGACATATTTCACAAAACTGGACTTTAAATCTGGCTATTTTCAAATACCATTAAATAAAGCAGATCGACCAAAGACGGCATTTTCAACGAGAGACAAACATTTACAATTTACCGTTATGCCTCAAGGAATCATTAACGGGCCGCCATCCTTCCAGCGTATTATTAACCAAATTCTTGGTCCAGCAAGATGGAGATATGCATTAGCATACATTGATGATATAATAATTTATTCAAGAACATTGAAAGATCATATAATACATTTGGAACGCGTACTGGATACATTGGACAAGGCTAATTTTCGATTAAATGTAGGAAAATCAGAAATTGCCAAGGAGGAACTCGGCTTCCTCGGCCATCATATTAAACAAGGAAACATCCGACCAAATGCCGACAACATATGTGGTTTATTGAATACCCAAACACCCACTACTGTCGAAGAAGCGTGCCGTTTTCTCAAAGGTGCAGACTATTATCGTAAATTCATTCCACAATTTTCGAAAATAGCTGATCCATTGTATAAATTTGTTTCAAAGAAGAAACAGTCTAGTTCAAAAATAACACCAATTACACTGACGAAGGAAGAAGAAAACTCATTCAATGAGTTAAAACATATATTGACGACGGATCTCGTCCTGCATCTCCCGAACAATCAATTGAGATATAAAATCCAAACGGATGCTTTAAAAATGGGGATCGGTGCAGCATTATTGCAAACTTATCCAGATGGAAAAGAACGACCAGTGGCATATTTATCGAAAAAATTCACTCCGAGACAGCAAAACTGGTGTACAATTGAACAAGAATGTTATGCGATACTGAAGGCGATTGAACAATGGCATCAATATGTAGATGGCGTGGAAGTTCAAATTCAAACGGATCACAATCCATTAAAAGCATTGAATAAAAGAGCACAGAAGAGCACGAAATGTGAGCGTTGGCGATTGAAACTAGAACAATATCGTTACACAATTGATCATATTAGAGGAGACGATAATGCAATGTCCGATTATTTGTGCAGATCTCCCGTCGATCAGGGTGAAGAAGATCCGGATGATTATGTTCAATTGATATCAACGGCAACACGAACAGAAGACATTATTGCGATAGATACGTCAACACCACAAATTGTGGCGGCTGTAACAACTTGTGCTCAAGCAAACAAAATACTAGAGAGTAAAGCTCCTCATGTACGAGATGAAGAGCCAGGACAAACGAAAATTACATCAAAAATAGCTCTTCATGTACCAGATGAAGAGACAGACAATAAAAATAAGCAGCCAACAACAGTAAAGATCGATGATAATATGATTATTCTATTTACAGAGGAAATTATACGTGAACAACAACGTTCGGATAACCACATACAACATATCGTAACCAATATAAAAAATATAACAAGAAATTCGTTATCCTAATGGACTTTCACGGACCAATAGCACCGATGACACACCATGGACATAAATACATCATTGCAATAACCGACGTTTTATCCAAATTCGTGGTTACGCGAGCTACACGTGACTGTTCTGTGCAAACGGTGGCGCGATTCATCAAGGAAGATGTTATTTGCAAATATGGCACACCACGTTGCATATTAACGGACAATGGAAGTCACTTTACCTCCGCAATGACGAACAATTTATTACAACAAGTTGGTATTACCCACTTATACTCCACGCCAATTACCATCCACAAACCAATGGTCAAGTGGAGCGATACAACTCAACAATGGATACAAAAATAGCTACATTATCCAATCAACGAAAAACGGATTGGGACGAGCAACTGCCATTTGTTACATTTAATTATAATGCCACCGTTCATTCAATCACCAAACAAATCCCGTTTGAAATGGTATTTGGCAGATCACTAAAGTTACCATTTGATAGGCAATCAGGAGTAGTCTCGCTCGAACAACATCCAGAGCACATCACAAAATTAAAACAATATATATCATCATTAGAAAACGAAGCCAAGAAGAACATCATAAAAACTCAACAACAATCAAAAAAACGTTACGATTTACATCGATCGAATCCAGTATACAACTTAGGTGATTTGGTTCTGGTCAAAACAATAAATAATAGACGAAAATTTGATGTTCCCCATGAAGGTCCGTTTAAAATCGCTCAACGATTGGCTGACAAGACATATATAGTGCAACACATCAAAACACCAACTTTGACAAAACAAACCACCGTCGATTCCATCATACCAATATTCGAACGTCTAAATATCAGTTAAAACAATGGTCAACAGCCGACTAGTGAGAATTATAATGCACAACATTTTTGTATTGGTCTGCTTATGGGTGGTCACTCATGTGATCCAGCAATGCTTTTTGGAGGAGTAGCTTTCCACTCTCCACTGCCAGGAGGGGCTGTTATATGGTCGACTATTTATATTTCTTACTGGTTAACAGCATTATTAATCTCACTCAAATATTCACGATTAATTTTCAACAAAAATTATGCGATGGATGTGAAATTAATAGTTTGGCATCTACATCATTGATCATACTAATTACAATGAATATATATGATACCGATCTGTGAATCCCAATAGCGAAATTCATCCGAAAATTTGGCCTGAGAACAGAGGACTAGAAATTTTCCTGTTTGAGAGGAAAAAATGCCATGTCTCCCTGAACTTGAGAGGAAAAGATTTTTAAATTTTCCTGGTATTGAGAGGAAGAGCAGCTAAATTTTCCTGACACCGAAAGGAAAAGATAATAAAGATTTATTCTTATTTGTTTTCTCTAGATATACTATTTTTGCTATTATTCTCATTATTACTTCTCTACTCTCGTTATATTATTCACAGCATGAATCGACATCCACCATCTAGATGTCATCAACATCGGGATATATCACCTAGATATCGTCAGTTATCAAATCCAACATCAGGCCATCAACGAACATCTAATTCAATATTCGAACATCAGTCATCCTCAAGATCATTACCGAAACATCGACATGAAATACAACAACCACAAACAGCAAAACAACGAAGAAACGCGCGTCAACGCCAACGACGAGAAAATTAAGAAAACGAACTAAAACAATTAGATCCATTTTATGTATCTAAAAAACAATACAACATCCATCATGTGCATAAATTACGGTCGATATCCGACATACAACAATTAAACAGTAAACTAGAAAACATATCAACATACATTATCGACACTGAGTCCGACTATTATTCGCACAAACCAGAACTGAGTCAGATCCAAGGCATATCGTTCACCGCCCCATCAATAATTTTATTTATTGAAATGAATCACCTGCCAGATAAAACCAACAAAACAGACAAATTTAATGAGCTGGTTAAATTGATGAAAACGATATTTAAATCGACCAACACCATCTATGCATGGGGTCATTTACGTGCCGAACTGGAACCATTTTCACACAGTGGCTTATTTCAACTTTCCGATATTCCAGCAAAGGTATTCAATGTTCAACGTCGTTTTCGAGATTGGTATAATGACCGACACCCACACACCGAAGAATGTCAACGACAAAAATCGATCCACAACAACGATGATTACGACGATTGTCTCTGTCCACGTACTCATCGTCCATACAAGGCAGCCGATGACCAGTGGGGTCTTCAAATGACCATAGCACGAACATTTGACCAATATTTAGATAAATCAAGCACATTGGCAAATTGGGCAGTTGGACTTGATACGGCCTTGGGTGCTTATATGTCGCCACAAGAACGTGAACGATTAAAAACATACGCAGCGTACGACTGTTTGGCCGTAGAAAAATTGATTTATCCGATATTCCATGACTGGACATTAGAACAAGTTTGAAATTATGATCAAACATTTACGGATATGGTTCTTCATGTTCAAAATGAAGAACCACCCGTACAAAATCAACAACAGCAAACCGATAACCAGGACCAACCATCGCCACAAGTCCTACAGCAAGATTACGATTCAATGAATTTAGATCTAGTTCTTCATGTACAAAATGAAGAACCATTGGAACGAACAGCAGAAGAAGAAGATAATCATCATTATGTACAAGGTCACCAACAACCACACTTACAATCCAAAATCGTCAACATACCGCATTTACAATCCAAAGTAGTCAAACAACGTACACAACATGAACAGAAGATAAAAAGCCGAAAAGGAAGCCACTGGAGTCGCCGAAACCGATATCGATGGGAGGTGATACGACAAGTATTCAAGGACAAGACTCAAGGTATTGGTTTTTCAACAACAATGGTCAAACAAATTTTACGTTCAATGGGTATACGGGATACAAACATCAATATGGTTGGACAAACATTGTTTATTGGTACAAAGAAAGAACATCAACAATGGATTGAACAAGCATTAGATCAAGACCAATTTAATGAAGAACATTATCATCAGTTCATAAACAAAAACGACCATCCAGAACCGTAGGACTCGTTGTTATTATTGCACATTTGAAAAAAAAAACAGTTTTTCGTCTTTGTTTAGCGGTTTTTTGTCGGTTTTATACATAAAAATTAACATAATACATTTTTTGCTTACTTTTCATTTCGGTTTGTCTCTACATATGTTCTACTCTTTCGAGTGAACATCTTTGCTTGTTTTTTTCGATACAGACACTCTTCATTTTTTGTAGAGGGGGGTGTATGTTACAGGCTTATAGCCTTTCACATGTCAGACGCGTGATCATCATTCACATTTATTCTCTTTGTTCTCTATATTTCTCTCTGTTCACACAGACATACATATTGTACATATTATCTCTCTCGTTGTTGCCGAATACTTTTCTTTTTTTCAGTAAGTGATAACTGTTATTTTACTATCTCTTTCTATTTTACTATCTGCCGGACGTCCAATACTTTCTTTTCCTTTTCCATTGTACTCGCATATATATATACCGGTGTAAAGTTTTAGAAAGACAATAAAAAATCGTACCGTTCACACGCACGTTTTTCACCGTTTTTCGTTTTTAAACTAAAGACAGAGTATTGACGTGTGTGGTTTCGCTTCAAGCAGAGAGTTTCCAGACATACGTTATCTGGCTCTCTGACACACGAATATTTAAAAGAAAACCGATTAACAAATTTTCGGATTTTGATGGCGACGTTCATACTATTAAAAATGCATCTACAGGCACTTGTGTTTTTCGTATTGGAGGTTTTACTCATCACACTACTTTAGGTCCGGGTAAACAAATAAAGAAAAACTATGAAGCTTTATCAACGAATAAATTAAACAGTTATCGAGCAAAAATAGCAAGTGTGAAGTTGAAATTTGATGATGAAATTTCACTTATGAATTATGGTATGTGGTCTACGGTCTCCTATCGATGGCAAGGTATTAAAGGTGTCAC